TCCAAGATTTTTTTTAATCTTACAGTGTTATGTAGAGTGGCTCAGCACAGAAACAGGACATATGGTCCATCAAGGCGTTCATACTTCACACAACCACCACCATTCCTGTTCCCCATTCTTAGAATTCCCTTTGCCCTCATATATGCATCAAGTTTCCTCTTAAATACATTGATATGTTTTGCTTCAACCGCCACTTCCAGCATTGAGCTGCACATTCTCACCACCGTCTGTGTAGAGACATTTCTCCTAGAGCTTCAACTGAACACACAAGTGTCTCAACTTAATCTTGGTCACCCTTAAATGCAGTTTAATAGTCCTTACATTTGATATATCGCCTTATCATGTCATTCATACATTTCAAAGTACTTCTCAAGAGTTCACTGTGAAGTTTGCAGTCACTGTGTATTTTGTCGGCAACTTGGCAGCCAATTTGTGATCCACTTTAGGGGATTGTTGGCCAGAAATCAAAAGAATGAATGTCATCTTACAACATTTGAAGCAGTCTATCTATATACATGAGGAACAGAGGTTGGGTGTTCTGAAGGGATGATATCAGATGGGTTGAAAGGCCTTCTTTATCTGAACCGGTCCTGTGATCTTGTGAACATGTGTTTCACTCTGTCCTGAGCGGGTGTAAAATCCTTGTGTTAGAAGCAGATCAAAGGTTTCTCCAGCACCGTCACATTCACAAGATCATTAAAGAAGTTCAGACGTAAAAGAATTTTCATTCAGTCCATTTGATTTCTTCCTTCCTGAACGCATACATACCCAATCCCCTATCCTCCCATCACTAACACACCTTTAATGCAGTTCAAGTGGGGCTGTGATCGGAAAGCATGGCCTGATTGAAAGTTTCTTGTAGAGTTCCCTAACAGTTTGGCAGATACGAGTTCAAATTTCAGATTCAAATGCAATAGATGCATTCTCCCTGTAATCAGCTCATTGACACCAGAGATCACTGATGGCCTCACCTCATGTGTCAAAATAACTCATTGCCTGGTGAGGCAGTCGATATCCATCGGTCCAAACTCTCCACTAGACTTGATGCTACCAGCTGCCAAACGGGGTCTGATCTGTTAAGATACCTGGCAATCTATCGAGGCTTTAACTCCAGCCACAGAGAAGGAATGTTTTAGAGGCATGCTGTTCCCAACAGAGCGATCACAGATCTCTTTTGTGGTTCCTGTACTTTCTCCGAAAATTGTTTAATTGTTGCCAGCACAAACAAAAACCACAAAATCTGATAGGGAGCAAGCGCATTCTGAACATCCAACTGTAGCCACATTCTAAGGCCCTGTCCTGAAATTAAACGCTGATATGCGACTGTGTTCAAATTAATTGGTTGGCCTTGAACTATTATGTTGGTAGAGTTGGGTCTTCTCAGCTTATGCAATAATAATAATTCTTACACATCTGGAGGCACTCAAAGTTCTTCACAAGGCGTATTGTAAAGTGTAGTGACCATAGCCAAACATGCTAGACAATTTACACACAGCAATGTCCCACAAACAGCCAGGAAGCAAATAAATGACCACTGTTATCTGGTGGGACACAGTTAGGTGCAATTCTCAAAGAGAAGGGCTTATTCGTTATTAAAGATTCCTCAAAGGTTCAATTGCATAATGGGTCAAGTGCAATGTCACATAGTCAGATTTACTTAATGTATTACACTTACAAGCATTGCTCCAGCACGGTCAATCCCCAGTGATGTCATTGCTTATTTATAGCAGCTACTGCAACAGTGTCCTGATGTGTCAGGTTAGCATTCCGCACCATTTATCAGTGTATCCGTGTGTCCGTGACCAGTTTCCTGTTTACCCAAACAGCACAAACAATATCCAAACCAGGAAGTGCACAATGATGCCAGTCACTTCACTTACAGTAAATTCCTGTGAAGCACTCTGAGACATACTCATGATGTGAGAGATGCTGGATCTAATGTGAGGGTTATTATCTTTTATATAGATATATATATACACACACACACTATGTGCTAAGCTGAGCCCTGGATTGCTAAACATGCGCACATTACATACACTCTTGTTCCCTTGAAGAAAATATTCAAAATTACATCATTGAGATAAATCTTACAGGATGCTTGTATTCTTTTTTAAATTAAAAAAAGAGTATTCCCTCTAGGAATCTTAAGGGCAAAACTGTAAATCTTAGGGAGTTTTTTTTTCAGCAGAGCATTTCCTCAGTTGGGAACATTGAGCAAAAATATGTTTTTTATATAAATTTATGTTTTTCTTATATTATATTTATATTATATTTAATTCTTATATTCTCCCCCCCGCCCCAAATTGTTCCTCAGTCCTGCGGTTCTCAGCGAATTTGTATGCAGCACCTTCTAAAAGATTTAAAACAACACGATTTCTAGGAAGCAACAAGCTGGGTCTCGGTGACAGAAAGGTGAGGCCAGTGCCAACTAAAACAGTAACATTTTCCTAGATTGGTAGATCAGCCATATTAACATCCTGCCTTTAGCACTTCACGCTGCGTCCTTTGGCAAGCAATCGGCCTCTAAAGAACTCGGGTCAGGTCGATTTTTTAACCTTTAGCTTCCTGCCCAATGCAGTACAGCTGTGCGGGCAGCCTTTCCCACTGGCGGGCTGTGTAAACACGGTTGCTGAGGGAGATAGAGGATTCCCAGGCACTGTGGCTTGCCAAACTCCAGTACTCTTATAATAATAATATAATAAACCTTGCATTTGCATTTGGCCTTATCATGCCGTTAAGACGTCTCAAAGTCCTTCTTAGAAAAGATTGTAAAGCGGATTGACTGTGATTGACAAGGTCAATTTACTTATTCATTTATTTAAGAGGGATTATTACCCCCGGAAAGTGATCCGCCAATCGACTGACAACTGGGTTCCTACTTAGTGCTAGATAAACTGAGGCGTGAGGAAAGAAACTTGCCTAAGGTTTTGCCACGCCCGGGAATCAAATCCAGATCCTTATGACACCTGTAGCTCAAGTCAACTGGAAACTTACTGACAAGACACTTCTGGGTATCTGTCCTTCGAGTTCTGCCGAAAACTGCAGTTACCAATAGTCAAACTGGCTGTGTGAGTGCCCATTCCAAGCAATAGACTACACACCAAACCAAAGCTTAATGTTTAGAGCACTCGCCTCACAAGCGAGAGACTTGGGTTCAATTCTCGGCAGGGCGAAATGTTGGGCAAATTTCCTTACTCCCTACGCATCTGTTTACCTAGCAGTAAATAGGAACGCGGTTGTTAGTCGATTGGTGGATCGCTTTTCTGGAGGTAATAATTCCTTCAAAAAAATAATAATAATAAATTGGTCACTTCAATCTACAACTGTTTGTGGGACGCTGCTGTGCGCAATTGTTGCCGCGTTTCACCCACAAAATATACAGTCAATTTACTTTACAGTATATTCTGTGAAGCGCTTTGAGACGTCTCGAAGACGTGATAAGGCGCCATTTCAAATGCAAGGATTTTTTTATTATTAACATGAATGCCACATGGCTAAATCCAGACAGGGATGGCAGTGTGACCTGGCCATATGAATAGCTTATGGGCAGCCCATGGCCGTAACGTAACCGTTCAGTAATAACCATTCCATTCCTGCCAGCTGTGCCTTTGCCTGCTCACAGACCTGATCTAAATTCCACCAGAAACACACACACACACGCTCAACAACAACAACGTGCATTTATATAGCACCCTACACGCCGGATGGCATCTCGGAGTCACTCACTCACGTACATATGCCCACAAAATATACAGTCACTACAATTCTGTGAAGCGCTTTGAGACGTCTCGAAGACGTGATAAGGCGCTATATCAAGTGCAAGGATTATTATTATTATACACTCACACACATACACACCTCAACTTAATGGAGACTATAACCAATGAAGTATCTCCCTATTTCACAATCGTCCTAAAGGGGAAAGACTGATTTAAAGCTATGATTAGCTCACCAACCAGAGGAATGGAGGTGAACCCCACTTGCCTGAGGTGAAGGGATATTGAGGTATTGGTAGGACACAATTCCTTTCAGGATGACAGGGATCACCTTTGTTGACTTTGATGAGGGTTCCCATTATTGTCCCGCTCACTGAAGGGTCTGGCATGTAAAGTTAAATAGAATTCGTGCCTGACTGTTCCTGTGCACTGTATCCCCCGAATTCCTCACGTTACTGTATATCTAACACAGTGTTTACCAAATTCCTTCTCCGCACATTTTACAATGAGTAACACAACCGGACGTCAGCAATTACCTCAGCAATAATGATGGTCGAAAAAAAATGAACACACGGACAAATTGACAAGCAATCTATTTGGACACATCAACAGAGCAAAGATTTCTCCTACAAACACTGCACTGGACGGTAAATCCTGTGAAGCGCTTTGAGACGCCCTCCTGACATGAAAGAGCTATATCCCACGCAAGGATTATTAAGTACACTCAAAGCAAATCCTGTGAAGCGCCTTGAGACGCTTTGATGACGTGATAAGTGTTCTGCATCAAATGCAATGATTATTATTATATTTAATGTCAGGACACTAAGCTTTAATGGACAGTCATTTTAAAATAATTGGGACACTTTTTTTTTGCAGTTGCTAAAGTGTTTTTTAAATCCAGAAAAAGCAATGATTCCAACCCATCAGTTACCCGCTGGGTGTCATTGATTCCCAAACTGACGCAGACACTGAGCAATGGATGGCGAGCTAGCTTTAAAGGAGCTGGAGGAGCCACTGTTAAAAGAGGAAGACGGCTAATGCAGTACAGTCTTATCATACAAAGCTCTCAATCCGAAAAGCCTCCTCCTGCACTGAGTGAAGTTTTAAGAGACTGAAGCAGAGAAGGCAGCGAGCGAGGCTGGGTTCCCAGCCAGTGAGCGGGTTTGATGCCACCCTCCCCTCAGTGAAGCAGCACGTGCCCCTTATCAACAGCAAAACAGGGGGTGGGGGGGGGGGAACCAGCTGTTCTCTGCGTTTAAGCAGCCGAACACGGGCATGGCTTACCTTCCTCCAGATCCCAGGCTGTCCTGCAGACTTTAAAATCCAAGGAGGGGGAGGTGGGGGTGTGTAGACTGCACACACACGCGCGCCGTCACACACACACACAAAAACCCCAGAACGTCTCCCAGCAAAGTGCAAACTCAGGAAAGCTTACAACAGGAAGCGCCTGGCTACCAACCACACTGTTTGCTCTCGAAGAGGAAGTGGGAGAGTGTGTGGGGACTTCAACAATAGCGTTTAACCCCCATGTCAAAAGCTCATTAATGACAGCCTCCTACTGAGGCGGGCAGCCAAGCCTGCAGACTGCTGAATCAACGCCGCTCTCTCTCTCTCAGTGACAAAACCAGCGCAGGGAGCACAGACGAGGAGAAGCAGGCGCCCAGCGATTGGAGCTTTCGCCCACAAAATACAGTCAATTTACTTTACAATACAGTAGTTTTCTTAATCCCCACACCTCTGTTTACCTAACAGTAAGTGGGAACCTGGTGGTTAGTCGATTGGCGAATCGCTTTCCCGGGGGTAATAATCCCCCCAATTATTTAAAAAATGGTTCACTCAATCCATGATTGTTTGTGGGACGCTGTTGTGTGCAATTGGCTGCCGCGTTTTGAACACAAAATACGCAGCCAATTCACTTTACAATGTATTCTGTGAAGCGCTTTGAGACGTCTCAACGAAGTTAAAAGGCGCTGTATCCAACGCAAGAATTACTAATATTATTGTTATTATAATTATCTTTAGACCTGCAGTAAACGGAGTGGGCGGGCGACTTTCCGATCGAAAAGAAAAACAAAATAGAACGACATAATTAAAGCTCCTGATAGGAAATTAAAAGTGGATTGTTTCGGCATCACTCATTTCCCTCCTCCAGCTCCATCGTGAGAACTCGGCAGGAAATGGTGTGAATCAACCAACGCCTGAGGGTTATAATCTGGCTTTTTCTTTTTTGGGGGTCTTTTCTTTCTCTCTCCCTCCCCATCGTTCTCTCTCAGTGGAGAGCCTTTCACAATCTATAAGACTCCTGCCCATCTTTATTCATACAAAAAGAATGGGACTCCTCTCCCACCCCACCCACTCACTTTCTTCCCCCACCTTCCCCTCCCCCCACAACGGCTGAAGTTATGGGGACATGTAACTGAGTGCCCACTTTACAGAAGTTCGGAAGGTCTGTCTGGTTTGGATGTTTTCCCGCAGCGCAGCACAAATAAAAATCGTCCCACTATCTCGCATCTTGTTTTAATATAAACTCTGAACATTTCCTGTTAATAATTAATGCCACAGGCAAGGAAGACACCACAAAGCATCAGGTCTCAGAGAGGAACCTCATAGAGATGTATAACATTTAAAATAAGATTGAAAATAGGAAACCCAGATCAATACTCGAGGATGCACTGAGACAGCAGAACAAGAGGACACAGATTTACGAGTTGCAAAGGGAATTTCATGGACAGACAACAGGAAGTTTATCTTTACTTAGAGGCTAATTAATCACTGGAATAGGTTACCAGGAAGGCTGGCTGAGTAGCTCGAGTGCACTGGGACTCTGCTAGTGAAAGTGACTTGCTCTGTCTGCTCAAAGAGCCGGCACAGACTCGATGGGCCGAATGGCCTCCTTCTGTGCCGTAACATTCTATGAATCTATGACCCGAGGGCTCCCGGACGCTAACCCACGTGAAGGTCGCAACATAAATGCAAGTTGTTGTTATTGTCTCATTGAGGGGAAAGCACAATAAAATTTACAGCACCTTTCACATTGGGAGGAGATTGACACTGCTGGCGGGACACCTACACTGCGGGTGGGAGCTGAGTGAGGTGGGGTTTGGGTGGGGGGTGCGGGGGGGGGGCAAAGATGACCAAAAGATCGGTCAAAGCAGTGCGTTTTGAGACTGGCCTTGGAGGACATACATCAAGAAGTTATTTTTCACTTGGGGGCTAATTAACGACTACCAAAAAGCAATTTAAGGCAAAAGGGATTTTCAGATCATTTCTCCCAACAGCTGTTCACAGTAATCCAAGAATGGCATCTCCGACAGCGAGGCACACCCCCCAACATTGTACTGGAGCGTCAGCTTCAACTGTGAGTTCAAGGTCCCGATGTGTTTACAAATCCCTAACAAGGTCCCCAAAAAATTGGTCACATCGATCTACAACTGTTCGTGGGGACACCGCTGTGTGCAATTGGTTGCCGTGTTGTGCCCACAAAATACAATATATTCTATGAAGCGCTTTGAGACATCCCGAAGACGTGATAAGGCGCTATATCAAATGCAAGGATTATTATTGTGATATTATTATATTATCTGACAAGCTGCTGAGCTAGAGACTGGAAATGTGCAATCCTCTTAGCCACAGCTGGTTTGGTAGTGGGATCATTACGACTGGTCAGGAAGAGGGAAACTTGAGGCGCGGGGTTAGGGGTGGAGTGGAGTGATGGGGGTGGCGGGGGGATGGAGATTGGCAGGACGTACAAACAATATTTTGTGCCCTGACAAAGCAACAGTTACTGGACTGCAGAAACAACAACACCACCTTGCATTTCACATTGGGTGGCATCCCAGAGCACTTCAGATGAATAGCTTTCATTACATTGACTGGCGTTTATATTGACTTGCCCTTCGTGCAAAAGGAATTCTCAAAATGGCACAAAAGCGAGGACAGGCAAACAAGATATTTCAAGCAATTGACCAAAGGCATGGATGGTTATAGAGACAGCATTACCAGGAGGTTTCAGAAGTCACGAAGAGAGATAGCAAAGTGATGGAGGACAGCTCAAGAGGACTGGGACTGCGGCTGAGTGTTGAATGGTTAGTTACTGTTTAATGACTTGCTTACATAACTTCTTCCAGAAGGAGGTTTAAAAAAAACACACAGTAAATGGAACATTGCCAAGTCCATAACAGCGTTCAAAAGGGAATTGGATAAATACTTGAGGAAAATATTAAGTTGCGAGGAAACAGCAGGGGGGTGGGATTACAGCAAATTGTTCCCATGGGGGAGCACACACACAATGGGCTAAATGGCTCCATTTCATAATGATCATCATAAAAGGTTCTTTCATTCGAGAAAAAAAATGCAAGTGTATTTGCCCACTCCTTATTTCAGACCCACGATACACTTCCGCAATCAGTAATATCTTCTGTGTAAGGAGGAAAAACAAAGCTTGCATTTTATCTAATGCCAAATCACGCCCTCGAGACACCTCGAAGTGCCTCACAGCAATTCACTGCAAAGTGTAGTGCCTGTGTATCTTCTAGGTGGGAAAAGCAGGAAATTTACTCACAGCAATGTTCCACAAACAAGCCATGCAGTGAGTGTTCAATGGGGGATTGTTGGCCAGGACAGAGAGACTGGACTTTGGTTTAACGTTTTATCTGAAGGACTGCAGCTCCACCAATGCAGTGCTCCCAAAAAATACTGTATAAACGTCTAATGCTCAACAAACAATCGCAAACAGAGAAGAACTACTGAAACATTTTTGTCCTGTAGCGTATTGGTTAGAGCAAGCGAGAGGACCTGGATTCAATTCTTGCGCGCGGTGAAACCTGAGGGAAGTTTTCCTACTCCACATGCCTCTGTTTACGGGCAGTAAGTAGGACCCTGGTTGTTAGTCGATTGCCGGATCGCTTTCCGGAGGTAATAATCATTCCAAAAAAACAAGAAAATAAACAGTTGCTCACTCAAACCACGACTGTTTGCAGGACACTGCTGTGTGCAATTGGTTACCACATTTTGCCCACAAAATACAGGCAATTCACTTTCCAATATATTCTGTGAAGCGTTTTGAGACGCCTCAATGACGTGATAAGGAACTATATCAAATGGGAGTATTATTCGTATTATTATTATATATCATTGATCAGATCTGGATACAGGCAATTACAGGGCTTGCGAATGGAAAACAATGTTAAATTACAAGTTAAGAGTAACTTTAAATAGTAACCTCACAATGAGGACATTTAGAGATCTGTTATTATACACGTTTTCTAAATTGAAAACAAATGACAGTATTGTCATAATGACCATAGGGTTTGGAGCCTCAGAGTCAGAAACCATAAAAAAAGGATATGGTGAGGGGTTTTACAGTGAAATGCAAAGGCTTCAAAATGACGTTGCCTGCAGAAATTTCAGTTTCAAATCCAGTGCGAGATCAGGTACGAGTTGTACAAAACAAAATTACATTTGTAAAGCGTCTTTCATATCAGGAGGACGTCCCAACGCACCGGACAGTCGGGGATTAGGACCCAAGCGGGGGGTGGGGGGGTGTGTGGAGGAGCTGTAAAAGCGAAAGCAGATGTCTGCTGGAACAGTTACAAATACAGCAAACACCAAGCTAGGCCGAAAGCAGGGAAATACCTTCCTGTTGTTTTGGCCTGCAAACTTTTCATTCGGTTTCCATGGCAACCGCAAACGTTCTAGAGATTTCTAAATTCGATGGGGACAAACTGTGTTCTTTCCGTATATGGGCAACAAACCCAACGTATTGTGTATTTCCCCCCCACCCCCTCAGTGCTCAGATACTAGTTTGATTTTATCATTTTACATTTTACAGTCGAAAATTTCACAACGCTGAAAATGAATGATGGGCCTGAAATTCTTTTGGCTTCTAACATTAGTGAAGATCTAGATATGCTTCATGTGACCATCCCCAATATTTATGGGATTATTGGCCGAGTCTTCTCTTTTTATTTCAGAAGAAGGCTGTTTGGCCCAATTTGTCTATATTGCTCTTTTAAAGGATTGTTCTTTTAAAGATCGATCCTTTCGGTCTCATTTACAAACTCCACTCTTTTTGAATAGTGCCGTGAGGATCTTGAACATCTACCAGACGAGACAGACAACGCCTTGCTTTAACATCTAATCCAAAAGGACGACACCTATCACGATGCAGCGCCCCCCGGCAATGCACCAACATGTCAGCCTAGACATTTGTTGTGTTTGCAAACCCACAACCTCTGACTCAGAGGTGAGAGTGCTGTTGACTGAGCTAGGCTGACACATGAACTAACCATAAGCAATATTAATCAAGTCACTGGCAACAGCTATTGATGACAGTGCAGTCGTAGCAATTATGAGGTGCTGGTAAGCTGCTAACGGTTACTGTAAACAGTACAGCAATGATCAATTTTCAGACTAAAGTGACGCTAACACGATCCTTACTTGTCCTCGTTTGTCTTACCATGTGCCTTGCCTGGATTTCTTGAACCGTGCTGTCTCTCTCTCTCTTTCTCTCTCGCTCACTGTGGAAAAGCTGATGTAATGCAGAAACTGCAA